TTATTTTAAGAAATTGCCACAGCCACCCCAACCTTCAGCAACCACCACCCTGATCAGTCAGCAGCCATCAACATCGAGGCAAGACCCTCCACCAGCAAAAAGATTACGACTCGCTGAAGGCTCAGATGATGGTTAGCATTTTTTAGCAATAAAGTATTTTTTAATTAAGGTATGTACATTGTTTTTTTAGACATAATGCTATTGCACACTTAACAGACTACAGTATAGTATAAACATAACTTTTATATGCACTGGGAAACCAAAAAATTCGTGTGCCTCGCTTTATTGCGATATTCGCTTTATTGCGGTGGTCTGGAACCGAACCCGCAATATCTCCGAGGTATGCCTGTATAGAAAACTACCTAACAAAGATAATCATTATTAATGTAATGCTTCTAAACCTTAGCAGTGCTGAAGTCCACGTCAATGTTAGATTATATTGGGTTGTTAGCATTTGTCATTTTTGCATGTGCCAAAAAGGATCATCGCCTATCAAGCAGCACTGTCACAAAATTCAGAAGGTGCTTCTAGAGTCATACTGTTCCACTTATCAAATTAATGTAATTTTTCTCAGAAATTCCAAAGGAGGAGAAAAAAATAACCACTCCAGAAAGTTAATAGAATCTTCAGGTAGATTCTAGAAAAGGATTAAAATGACCCACTTGAAATATTGATGAGCTTTTAGACAGAGGAAGATGGAATTAAGTATACACCAGATATCACTAAATAAGGTAAGGAAGCAAACACTTAGAGAATAGAATTAGTATTCAAAATGGCCTTAATAAAGTGGAAAAATCTGAAGAAAATGTAGGACAATATAAATTAGAAGAATAAGGTGGAACAGTCAAATGCACAAATAGAAAATGCAGAACCTAAGCTGCCATACTGTAGAAAGGGACCTTTGGGTTATAGTGTATCATATGCTGAGCATCTGCCATCAGTGTAACATTAGTGCCAAAAAAGCTAACAGCATACTGAATATATTAACAAGGATACTATATACCAGTCACAGGAGATTCAGCTTACACTCTACTGAGGCACTGCTAAGGCCTTACCAGGAGTAATGTGTTTTGGACAGTTTTGGGCACTGCAAGCTCAAGAAAGAGATGGACAAACTGGTACAGATCCACAGGAAGGAAACAAAGAAGATTGGAGGGAGAGCATGGCATAGTAATAAAGATCGGAAAAACTGGGGTCATTTGGTACGGAGAAGAGAAGACTAAGGGCACGTCCAGACAAGCAGGAACATTTATTTCCCCAGGAAAAAGCAGCAGCATCACACACTTTGTGCCGCTGCTACCTGTCCCTGGGGAATGACCGTGCCATACATACTATGGTGCACAGCAGGTTACCACAGGTGAGGCAGGAGAGACTGGGGCCAGCAACTGCGCTGGCGCCCAACAGCCTTACCTGGGGTCCTAGGGGCCTCAGGCAGCTGCAGCCATGGCACTCCTACAGCAGGGAGACTGGCTACAAGACCCGGTTTTCAGGAACCAATTGTGTCATAGGTCTGAGGACCACCTGTACCTGAAGGTTAGGTGCCAAGTGGATTCTTTGTGGCTGCATGGAACAGGACAAGCAAATAAACACCACCCTTCTGGAAGACAAGAGGGTGGTGGAAAGGCAGCCACATAAGCATCCAAGAACTGCAAGTCAAAGACTGATGCTAAAAATGAAGCCCCACAAGCAGCAAATTCCTAGCATCTTCTTCCTCTGAAGATGGGACTGCAGTAGGACAGAGTGTTAGCTGCTATCCTTCAAGCCTCTCTCAAGGTTTCAGACAAATATGTGTAGTTACATATTTTGACCCTTTCTATTGACACTGTCCACCATTGATATTAATTCTTAAGAGGCTTACTGTCAGGCTCCTATTGGGCGTCCAAAGCAAAAAGAAAAGTTCCAAGTGCGTTCTGCCTGTGCAACCCTTTAGGGCAGAGCTGTCCAGCTGGTGGCCTGCAAGGGGTTAAACTGCAGCCACAAAATCCCTCCCAGGGGCTGCTCTCCCCTCTGCTTCAGGTGTGGGGAAGCCCATGCAACAGTGGGTCACAGAGGACACCACATGTTGGTGGTGGGATGGCATAGGGAAGCCCATAAGGCAGGGAGAATGCGGGGAAGACAGCGTAGCAGCGGGGCAACCCACAAACTGTGCAGCTCAAAGGTCTTGTGCTCACCCAAGACATGTGGACCCCACTGCTTAGGAGTTAGACAGTCCTGTTTTAGGGGACTGAATACAGCCTAGCCTACACAGAAGAATATATAGTGTCAGTGATGATGTTTTGCTTTTATAGCCTTATCAACCTGCTGTGCAGGTATAAAATTTAGGTACAAACAACTAGTAAATCAACTGTGCATCATCCTCACTCTCCATTGCTGCCAGGTAGTTCTTTTCTTCCAGAAAGAAATAATGAAAGTTGCAACTGTTACACAAAAAAGCAAGTGACTGTTGGATTTAGAAATCAAATTGGTACAAAACCCTAATGCCACCACACCTGTTCTGATTTAACTCCAACATACATGCAAATAGCTTAAAACAAACAAGTTTTATATCCATGTTAGTGCATCTATGCTTGGAATCATCCTGCTTTAACTATAACTTACCAAGAAAATAAGTTGTAGAAACAGTTCAATTCTGTGATATCTAGCTACAAGGTTTTATACTCATTTTGACAAATCAGACCCAAATCTAAGAAGATCCATCTGAGCAGACAGCTGCACTCCCATAGGAGGCCACATAACCAGCCCACATAAATCTGACTGCAGAACCAAACAAGGAGGAACTCTGCTGGTGTTCATAATTTCAGACTTTTACAAGCAAATCAATATGAAAGGTAAGCAGAACATTAAATTCAAATCTTTCAGTATTTGCTCACTTGAAGACACGCACACCACCAAGAAATGCAGCGCCAGTTTGAATCGCACAACACTTTGAATTACTTAAATAGTCTAACCTCACAGTTCTAGTGCTCAAAGGAAATCTCTCCAGCACCTTTACAAGAAGAGCATGGGAACAGAAACTCAGAAGCACCACAGACTTAAAAAAGACCAGTGGTGCTAATGGATTTGGCCCCATGGGCAAGATGAACAGCATCTGCAGCCAGATTGGCCCCTCAGTCTCCTCCTTACCTCCTTCCCCTATTCATATGTTTTTCTTTATAAACTATTTAGATTTCAGATTGATAAACCTCTTCTACTGCTTTACACTTTTTCCCCAGGTGCAAACCTTACTCTGTGTTGATGAACACGTTGTGCCTGTGTTTGTCCTGGAACAGAAATGTCCCAGAATTGGTATGTATATATACATCACACTTCAAATGAGGGCTTAACAAGTGACTGAATGCAGTTCCACTTTTTTGCTATTGATACAATGATACAAGCCCAGGGTAACCATTCAGATTCACTTTGCAATGTCCCAGGATAAACTGTTAGTACATCTCATCTCATAAACCCTTTCAGGATTCATCCCAGGACAACACTGCAGTCAAAATGACTGCACTTTGTCTTGGGAATAAATGGTTTATCCTAGAATAAAAAAGTGGCATCTATTTGCAGCCACTACCTGGTCTACTGCCAGCCTAAAGTCTACCACCTATCAGCATAAACTTGTTTCCCTCTTCCCTTTACATCTGTCATCTGAGCAGTCATCCTCTTGTAATTACCTTATGGATTCTTAATCTTTTTAGAAGAACCTTTTTAGGGTATGGACAGACACAAAGCTTGAACTATTCCAAAAATGTCACTGATTGGGAAACAATCACAAACTACTAATGCTTCTAACTGGGGACCCCCACTACTTAGAGACTGCACCACTGCCAAAACACCACAAGGGGCGTAAGGTACCCAAATCATCATGCGTTCCAGGGGGGTCAGTGCCTGGAGTAGCCCCAGGATCACCGTAGATGGGGAGCAAGACACAAAGTGGCTGGATGCCAAGAAAGATACCACTGCCTGTAATTGCAGTTTCCTGCTTCCCCTTCTCAAAAAAATTGAGTTAAAAATGCTGACTGAGTGTAATACAGTTTTGTTTGGCGGGGGGGGGGAGGGGTTAACCCAAACCTATATGGTTGACTGGGCATGCATGGGAGGGAACAACCTGGACCCCATCAAAGGAAATGGACCCGATGGGGGAGGAGAGAGGGGGTGTGCCAGGCTCATTTAGGGCAGAAACATAGTAGGGCTGCCAGGAGCTGAGGCCAGGTGACCCTCTGCTTTAGGTGGATGGGTGGTTGTGCCTGTAACACCTGTCAATTGCTGAGTGTGTAGCCGGGCAGGGACAGGGAACAGAGCAGTTGCACAATGGGCCCTTCTTAGAAAAAAAGGTCCATCAATTCCATGCCCAGTGTGAAATGAATCATTGTCCCTCATCCTCTGGGCTGCACTCTTGCAGCCAGCCCTGGGACCAGACAAGTGAAACGCACTAAATGCTTTACAATACGTGCAAAACATGTAGTTCTTTGGGCAGCCCCAGAGCACTCGTGGGAACCACAAACAGGGACCAAACATCCCCACCCCAACACCTGGCTACCAACCACCACCCCAAACCTGGGACCCCCACTCAGGGGCCCCAGCATAAGAGTGAAACTGCCAGAGGCTTTCTGCTCCCCCACTGCACCCTGCAACTGTAGGCACCACATGTTTGGGCAGCAGAGTCCCGCCTGCATCCCAGAGCAGCCGCATATTGCTGTGCGGAGTGGGGGAAGTCTGTACATCCCCCCACGCCCCTCTCCTCTCCAGGAGGGCGGCAGGGGGCTCTGCGGAGTCCGAGACCCTAGGCACGTCTGACGCGCAAACGCAGCTGAAGGCCCCTTCCCCCGCCAACAGAGCCCGGCACCGGCATCAGCATCTCGGTGATGCCCCGCTCCCAGCCCCGCCCGCAGCTCCGGGGAGGCCCCGCCCCCAGACGCGGCGGCTGCGCGACGCCAGGCCCAGTCCCTGCGACAGACCAATCAACGGCTTCTTATGTCGTCACGTGACCTCCCCGCCCTTCCCTCACCTGGCCCCACAAGGCGCTGGTGACGCTACTTGGCTTCTCCTCTGGCGTCTGTGCGGGTCCGGAGCCGCCTGGCGCATCCTCCGGGCCGCTGCTGCTGCTCCGCCGGGCTGCGCCCACGAACAGCCGACCCCGTATGCGCGCGGCGGCGTGAAGCCATCTCGGAGACGCCATGATGCTTCCGCGTGGGGGGCGGGGCGCGACCCATGACCCCGCGCGTCGTCTGCGCCGAGAGCCGTAGAGTGCCCGGAGGGGCAGGCTAGAGCGTCGCCATCTTGTGGGCGGGGCCCGTCCCCGAGGGAGGAGGAGCCACTCCCCTTCCCCCCGGGGCTGCTGGTGGTCCTTTAGCCCCACTTCCTGGTCGCTGGCCGGGGCTGGGGCCGGGGCCGGGGCCGGGGCGGTGGGAGAGCTGGGGCGCTGCTCTCGCGGCCCGAGTGTCGGTGCTAACGCACGTGTGAAGCGGTGTCACGTGCCCAGCGCAGCCCCAACGCGGAGCTGGGCTCCGGGGGAAATTCTTTTCCGGCCACCGTAAGCGTCTACCCGCGCTTGAGGCCGGGCCGAGCGGTGCCCCCAGGCTCTGCATGCGGGACCGCCTACAGGCAGCCCTGTAGGTCTGCGGAAAGA